TGTGTAATCACTTTTAATAGATCAAATTATCTACTCTAGACATAAAATCATGTAAATTAAGACTGAACTGACCTTCAGTACCAAAGACACCATTCTGTCTTTCTCAGGTTTCTTTAGCCTCCTCATATGTACTTTATCCTAGCCCATTTTAACTTAATTCAGAATTTATCTGCTGTGTTTTTGGCACTATGCAAGATTCTGGAAATACAAAGATGATCAAAATAGCTGTGGCAACCCTAATGGAGTTTTCAGTCTACTCCCAGCCCCAGGCTGTTGAACTGTCATGAATTGGAGTAGCGGTTCTCAAAGTGTGGTCTGGGGACCCCTGGGAAGAGAGGAGGAGTCCCTGAGACTGTGTGTGAAAGATTGTGTGTGAAGCCCAAACATATTCTTGTGTTCATAGTAATACAGCATATTCTCACTTTTTGCAGTGCTTAGATTCTATGAAGTTGCTGTGAACACTGTATTAGTGAATACCGAACTGTTTATTGCTCCCAAGGGAAATATAAAGTTAGGTTCCTGTGAGCCTCTGGTCACAACATTTTTGTCAACTGGTTGGTATATAACTTTGCTGTATGTTTCTGTTTAAACACACCTTCACATGAGAGAATGGGAGGCTTGTAGGCCGTCTCCCATCCATCTCGCTACCTCCCCTGGGAGGATATCGTGACATTTCTTCCTTCCTTCCAGGTTCTGGGGAGGTACGGGGCTTTCTGCCCCAATCCCTTCAGAATAGGGCTGCAGAAGGTTAAACTGCTTGCTACAGCCTGGAACAGCCTCCTCAGCTTCGGGCACATCCCACATTACAGTCCCTGTGCTGTCCTTTGTGGTGTGTGTGACAGGGAGCAAGAAGCTGGCTAAACTGGCTTGTTGTATCTTTACTCTTCAACCGGTCAGGCCTCGACCTTGGCCTGGGGTGTGCTTTACAAACACGAGCAACCAAAGGGCAGATGTTGCAAGTGTGCCCTGCCCAGGGACTCTGCTCCCAGCGGAGCCATCTGGCCCCCAGACCCCTAGCCTGAAGCCCAGTGAAGAGCACATTCTCCAAGTCTGAGCACTCAGAGCTGAGCTTATTCATAGAGTCTGGAAAAGGAGGGGGAGGACTTTTTTGTTGCTGTTTTAAATAGGATTTTTAGTTAAGTGAGAAGACGCAGACTAGATATGAGGAAATAGATGGGAATGAAGAGTGGACATTTAACCAAAAAAATGTTGCTCAGGGTTGTGTATATACCCTTCATCATATTTGGGAAATGTAAGAAAAATTTTGAGTTATTTTAAAATTACTTTTTGGTGGCCCAGCTGTTTTCTCTGATTGCAACACTGCTTCAAGTTCAGACTGTGGCTTGCTTCATAGTCTGTAAATACAGAATGATTAATTAGGAATTTCTGTGCCCAGAGGGAGATCCATGATGCCTAACACCCTTGAGCTTCCCAAACAAATTGCAGAAGACAGTTCTATTATTTATTATGTAATTACAGATTCCTTAAGCTTTCTACATATGCTAAAAGGAGAGCGGATATAATTTCTTCAGCAGAATTTCTTAATGGAGTGGTCCTGCCATTTGGGGCAGGAGAATTTTTTGTTGTGCAGGACAATTTCTGGCATTGCACCGAAGTTCTTACCCAGTGAAACCAAAAGCACCTGTTCCTCATTGTGGCAACTAAAAATACCTCTCCTACCCTCACACACACATTTTGGAATATGCCCCTGTTGGGGATGGAACTCCCTCCCTGGAGAACAGTTGCCACCCAGGAGTAGATGGGGAACATCTGGGAAATTCAGCTCAAACCTCCCTCTGCTTAACCACGTCATACTGTTAATTTCACCCCTGCAGCCACCCCATGTTGATGGGGCCGGATTGAAGGGGGCTTATCTTTCAAGGCATTGTTATGAACTAAGTGTGTGTGTCCCCTCAAAATTCACAGGTTGAAACCATCCCCCCTGCTTATGATGTATTAGGAGGTGGGACTTTCAGGAGGTAATTAGGATTCTATGAGGTCTTGAGGGTGGAGCCCTCATGAATGGGATTAGTGCCCTAAAAAAGCAAGGAGAGTGCTGGCTTTTCCTCTGCTCTCTGCCACATGAAGTTACCACAAGAAGTGGAGGTGTGCGTAGTCTGCATCTTGAAAGAGCCCTCACCAGAACTTCCCCACATTGCCATCCTGATCTCAGGCTTTCAGCCTCCAGAACTGTGAGCAGTAATTTTCTATTGTTTATCAACCACTGTATGCTCTGATGGAGCTCTGGTGGTTTGTTATAGCATCTCCAACAGACGGAGATAAGCATTCCAGGTCCCAAATGGCAAGTTGGGCAAACTCTCCTCTATTTTTGGCATCCCTTTTCACCTGTCAGCACCCCAGACCACACTCCAGATTTCAGTCTGGAGAGGGAGAAATACAAATCATGCTCCCTGGTCACTTTCCCCTTATCCCACCAACTCCCGTCTTCCTCCCATCATCCAGTGAGGCTGGAAGAAGAGGGCTTATTTTCTCTCACATCAATTTCCCTGCTTCATTTCCTTGCCGTGATGACATTTGACCTCTCACCTTTTCAGGGGTCACAGTGGCGGATGCAGTGGAGGAAGATAGGAGAAAGTGAGTCTGGAGGTATTTGTAAATTTTGTGTTGTTGCATTGTACCTTTAGAAAATCTTGGTATGGCACTTTGACAGTGGCCAGGTACTCCCAGTTTGGAAGGGAAGCTGGAATGGCAACAAGGTTCTTTCCCTCCCCCGGAGGTGTTTCTACGCGCTTCCCCAGTGGGCTTCCCTGAGCTTGCCTGGCATCCTGAGTCTGGGGTCCTACAGAACCCGGTGAACAGCTTCTCTGGAGGAGAGAGGAAGCAGTGCTTGGGAGGAGGCTTCTGGGTGCTGCTAACTGTCCATTTTTTTTTTTAACCTGGCAATGGCTACACAGTATATTCATCTTGTGGTTATTAAGCATTTGTTTGTGTTCTATACTGCAAATATTTTTCCCGGTCTTTCGCTCTGAGGAGTTTTAAATTTCTTTTTAATAAAATCTGTCTGTTTTTTCTTATGACTACTAAGTCTTTCCCACCCCACAAATATAAACATATTGCCTTGTATTTTCTTCTTTACTTTTATAGTGTAGATGTTGAATCAATCTAGATTTTTTTCTGAATATGGGATGAGGTAGTGATTTACTTTATTTTTTTCCCTTATTGTCCTTGTACTGTTTTTTGAGTAATCTTTTATTTTCCCCACTGTTTAGAAATTCCACCTTTATCATGTGCTAAATTCCTAAGAGTACATGGGTCAATTTCTAGACTCCATTCTCTTTCATTAATCCATATGTTTATTCGTACTCCAACATAACATTATTTTAATTACTGCAGTTTTATAGATTGTTTTCACATCTGGTAGCACAAGTTCTCCACCTCATTTTTTCCCCTTAAATTGTTTTTTGTTATTTTAGTTTATTTTCTCTTCTAGAAGAATTTGAGAAGTAGCTTTTCATGCTCAATTAAAAATCTTTTGAAAATTTTCATTAAGATTGCCTTGGATGTGTAGGTTATTTGGGAAGAATCAACATTCTTCCAGTAAGTTGTCTTCATATAAGTCTTGCACATTTTTTATTAAGTTAATTCTAGGTACTCAATTGTATTTGTGGTTCTCATGAATGGGATTTTTTTTCCTGTTATATTTTATTTGTTATTACTGGGGATTTTTTATCTAGTCACCTCAGTAAAGTCTCATTAATTGTAATAGTTATTTGAGTTGATCCTCTTGGGATATCTAGGTAGACAACTACATAATCTATAAATAATAATGGCTTTAATTCTTGCTTTCTAATATTTATACTTAATATATTTTTCTTATCTTGTTGCACTGGTTACAACTTTCAGTGTAGTGTGAACAGTAATTGCAATGGCATAAGAGGACTTTTGTTTGATCATCACGTGTGATGTTTGCTATGGATTTTGGTAGTTGTAATGAGTTAAGGAAGCTTCCATATATTCTATATTTGGTTTTGGTTTTTTAAAAATTAGGAATGGGTGTAGCAGCTTTTTCAAAATCTAACTTACATAGTTTTCTCTTTTGTTAATATAACAGATTGTATCAAAAGATTTTCTAAAACTGAACCATCCTCATCATCCAGAGATAAATACTATTTAGTCATTTGGTATTATTCTTTTTGTACATTGGTCGAATATTTACTAATATTTTGTTTAGGATTCTTCAAGTCGATTTCACTCTTTGGTTTGTGGCAGCCTGTGCTTGTCTGCATGGTCCCCATTCTGTTCGTTAGCTTTTAAAAACAGCAGTGTAAAGTGTTCTCTTCTTAAAAGTGGATTACTTTTTATTTTAGTTTTCCTTAGTTGAGTGCAAAGTTGTGTGGTAGATAAGGCTAGGAGAGTGATGTGTTCAGATGAGTATATACCAATCAAATCCAAATAAGCAGCTCACCAGCCTGTATCTCTTGCCACCAATCTGGCTATGGGTGTCCCTGAGCACCGAAAGTATAAGGTACATCCTTTATAAAATGTAGCGACAGTTTTCTATTCTAGCGTAACTTAGGTAAAGTACAACAATCTTGATTTTTCCTTCAATCTCATGAAACTAAGGGTTCTGAACTTGTTGAGGTCTGTGACTATTGAGGAACCTTAAATTCTCTAGTTTAATCTCTTTACTTCTTTGCTCTAAGTAGTGTATCAATAAATGTTTTGAATCTATCTGTGTGTGAAGACAATGTGAAAATGACTATTGAGATTCTGATCGTAGATTTTTGTTTTTACCTTCAAGAAACTCAGAAGAAAATAATTTTTCTAGTGGAAAATGAAATCATCAGGTAGAACGGTGTGTCAGAAACAAGAAAATAACACTCAGACACTGTCCGCCTATTTTCAAGCTACTGTCCAGGAATACAGGAAGACTTTAGAGTCTTTTTTTTCTTCTTCTTCCTTTTCAGAGAGGCGGGGCTCAAGGTTTAGTCTGGAATTCAGATGCCTGTTAATGACTGCTCTGGGGCAGTTAAACCAAGAGAACAAATAGCTGCCCTGCTCATTAAATCAAACAGCACCAGGTACGGAGCTTGTGCTACAGGATGGAAATCAATGTGTATCCTCACCAAGCCTTGAGCTTTCCAGGCCCTCATGTAAGTAACTTTGCAATTTGATAGAACTTTATCCTTTGTCGTAGAAATTGCAGTCGGGAAAAAAAGAGGAAAAGACAAGGTGGGAGAGGAAAGCTTTGGTTTTAAATCTATCACATCCACCTTTGTTTTCTAACGTCATTTTTTTACTGCTCACTCCTGGTAGTCGTTCTGTGGTTGCTATTTATTTCTCAGTTACTGTGCTGAAACTCATGGTCTCTTAACAATTCTAAAGTATAATGATTTTTTTAAAAAAATTTTGGGGGGAGGTAACTGGGTTTAATTCTTTTTAATGGAGGTACTGGGGATTGAACCCAGGGGCTTGTGCATGCTAAGCAGGCACTCTACCACTGAGCTATATCAGCCCCCTTAGCAATTCTAAAGTGAAAGCTGGAAAAGAACTCTTTCCTTCAGATTCCTCATGCTTTCATCACATAAAGAGGGTTAGCTTTTACTTTTTACTTTGCTTCATGAATGCAGTTTATTTCCAGAAGTGCACTGTAGACTACAACTATTTTTATTTTTACCTTTGTATTTGAAACATGGTATATAGAGCTGCCTGGCTTACAGTACTTTTCCTCCCAGCTATCTACCTATTGATTAACCACGCTGGGTAGGGGAGTGCGTTTATTCTGAGTCAGTATCTAAACCAAATTAAGTGGAAATCACCATGTTAATCAATATAAAAGTATGTCATATAGTGAACTATAGTATAACATAGTTTTTTTAACCTAAAATTTTTACAGAAGCATATGGAAGTCCAGATGTTATTGGAAATCAACACATTTCAATTTGGTAGTTTTTTAAAAAATTCAATGTATTGAATTTAAAGATCATTTATACTTAAGGAATTGGCTTATAAGCACTTTTTCAGTCAAATGATGTCATTCTTGCACTTATTTTCAACACAGTCTACCTGTAGTTGTATCACTAATGCCTAATTTCAATTTGCCTTCTTCAATGAGAATGTATTATTTTTATTTTTTCGTAGCACTTACACTTATATTTAAATTCCAGGTCAGCTCTTCTGAGCTTCCAGTTGGAACTTCTTAAGTTTGTTTTTCCTCATGTCTTCAATGAAATGTAGGAAATATTTGTTTCTAGTTACAAAGGTAATAGTTGCTCTGACTCCTGGTTTTCAAGTCACTGATTTATTTTAAGTGCACCTTGAAATTACCTTTTCATCATCTGCCAGATGTTTCGTGGTTCTATGACTACATCAACTCTGAAATCCTCTATGTTGCCTCAACATTACCTTTCAAGGTGCTCTCCCACTTAATAATCCAACCTTATTTTGCAATATTTCTCAACAAACTTCTCCTGCAGGCTAGTCTCACTCCCTTCCTGTTATCTTCAGTCACACTGTTCTCATGTAGGGAAATGCTCCCTTACAATGTAAAAGGTGGGATTTCACGGCAGACAAACTTTGAGAGAGAAAGAAGGAGGAGTCAGGGCTGGCTCCCAGGTTACTGGGTGGATGGTAATACAGTCACTGAGAATGAGAATGGAGAAAGCCCAGGTTTATGGGGAAGAAGAAAACTTCATTGTGGCAAGTTGATTTGGGGCGCCTATGGAAGACATCCCAATAAAGATGTCCTAAAAGGAGTTAGATATTTGTGTTTGGACAGAGAAGACTGTGTTAGATATTCTGATTAAGAACTAATTTTAATGGTTGTTAAGTCACACAAGTGGATGAGTTAATACTATGTGTGTATGAAAATGAGATGAAAAGAAGGCTAAATACAGAGTCCTGGAAAACATTAACATTTAAGTAGGGGATTGAGGAAGGATTGCAGCCAGAGAGGTTGGAGGTAGGTGGGAAATCAGGAGGTGTCATGTCATGAAGCACAGGAAGAAGAAAGTTTCAAGAATGAAGCAGTGACCAAAAGTGTAAAGAAGGGATAAAGAGAATGGAAGCTGGAGGGCAGAAAAGATTAGGTGCATGGGCAGTTGAATGAAGTGAATTGGAAAAGAGGGAACATGGCCAGGAAAGCACCGCTGAACGTGTAACAAAAAGTGCAATAAGCTGGAGTTCCTTGGTTTCCACAGAACTTTACTCTCTATGAAATGAAATTTAATAATGTCTAAGAGTCTGATTACCTACAGCTTAGATAACTACTATATGTAAAATATTATAAAAAGAGTTCTGAACTGGCCAAGAGTGAAAGTATAACAAACTGGGAGTCAGGAACGTTAGAAAAATCTGGTGAAATAGGTAGGACAAGAAATGTAGTTGGGCGCACTGGGCTAAGAGTGAGCAGTGTATTTCAAAACAGATACACATTTTATTAGGTGAGTAATGCCTATCACAAATCTGTCTCTCCAACCATATCTTTCTCCAGGTCCTCAATCTCATGGAAACGTCCTTTAGAGGCTACAAATTCAGCACATCTAAATTAGATCACATTATCTTCTCGCCTACTCCAGCCCATCTCTAAACCTGCTTCTCCTCTATTTCAAGTACCAGCATTGCCAGCCACCCTGTTGTCTGAAGGGGAAACCTTTGTCATTCATTCTCTTCATCATCATCCCTTTGGTCTCATCTCTGCCATCAAGTTCTGTCCATTCTGTCTCCACATTCTTCTGATTCCACCCTCTTACTTTTCATTCCCACCACCACCAACTGATTCAGGTCCTGAAATATTATTCCTAACTGGTCTGCCTTCTTCTAGATCTTTCTCCTCTTCCCAATCCGTCTTCCACAACTCCAAATAAGCAAATCTGATCATGTCCCTCTGCTGATTAAAAAAAAAAAAATCTCCCAGTTCCAGTGAGGAGAAAGGAAGTCTTTCCTCCTTAGCATGACATCATGCAAGGCCCCAGCTGACCCGGCCTTGCCCCACATCTGAGCTGCTTCTCAGCGACTTTCTGCCCCCACACATCTGTCTTATAACACCACTAAGTTTCTCCTTGATCTTCAACCCACCATGCTCTTTTACTCTTGACTCGCTATAAAGACTGAGCAAGTATTGTGCTACTAAGATCATAAGCTTGGGTGCTAGAGGAGGGTAGATGAGAGAAGTTGAATGCAAGTGATTTGGACCAGCCATAGAAAAGAATAGGGGTGGCAGTGGCTTTTTGATAAGAGATGTGATTCCCCCTGTTGGACTCAATGCTTATTAGGCTATATTTCTCTGTGTGTGTGTGTGTGATCTGGATTGTTTGTTTGTTTGGAGGAGAGGTAATTAGATTGATTGATTGACTGATTGATTTAATGGAGGTATGTACTGGGGATTGAACCCAGGACCTCGTGCACACTAAGCATGCATTCTACCACTGAGCTGTACCCTCCCCCCAGACTGTATTTCGTCACTAAGTCATGATTTAAGGAACGATCAGGGAAGCAAGCATACTTCACAGAGCTAA